AATGTTTCATGCCGAAATTCAAGTACCCAACATCATCGGTCCTATTGATTGAAATCTACAAATAATTTTCAAATTGTTGAAAATAGTATATAAAAATATCAAAGTACATAAATTTATCAAAGTACATAAATTCATCTAAATAACAAATAAGTCAAATAAGTCGAAAAATATAAATATGCGAATATAACAAGTGTATAAAAATATACCATTATTAAAAATATAAAAGGCGCACACATTTTTACCTATTGCGGATTACTTCTGTTTTTTGTTGTTACCCATTTCCTTGTTTCAACTATATGATTGGTTTTCATTTAACTCATAAAACTAGCATCATACTTTCAAATTTAGCAAGTATCATACTTTCAAATTAAAGCAAAAACATATATTTATTTCACATGATAAATATCTTAAAGCAAAAACATATATTTATTTCACAATATCTTTCAAATTGGTCCGTATAAATTCAAATCTATATGTGGGACAATACTAACTAATTTAATCATAGACAGAGTACATGATTATATGTGGTGCTGAACATTTCTGAAGCATGCAGAGCATTTGTACAAGATTATATAAGTTAGAGTTTTGTAACTGTATATATTAATATATACAATCATATCAAGATATTTGTAATGTGTACACAAGTATGCTAATAAATATACTACATAAACTGTAAATTAGGTCCACATGCTTATAGCCTATTTGTGGCCCATGCATACTTCAATAATTGAATCCATGAGGATTTGTCTTTCTAATCTCAATTCAATTGGGTCAGAAAGCAAATTGTACATATGCCTCGTCATTTGAGAAACATCTCAAGCTTAAGGCCATGTTCCCAAAAGCCTGCAGCCAAAGCAATAATGCGAGCGCACCAGTTGGCATGCTATTTTTGGTGCGTTATCAGCAATTTTTTTTTTTATTCATTCCGTCGGGATTTGTAATCGTTAGATCATCATGTAACCGTCGAGGATAGTTGATCTAACGGTTACAAACCCCGACGGAATAGTTCCGTAACGGGTTTCCAAACTCCTCATATTAAATTTTCAAATTAATAATACAAAAAAAAAAAGAAAAAAAAAAACATTTACACTTTAATTCCACATACAAATTCTTAATTAGGGACACAAGCACAACTAACATATTCGCACTAAAAGAAACTAAACATACTAATCATAGCAACACGCAGACTTGAAAAAAATACCGATTCACTAAATCTTATAAATATAACTTATATTAATAAAATTTTTGAGTGAAACTGTTTTAACCATGAACGGCCGCGTAGCTATTGATGAGAGCCAACGCGTTGCTCGTCACATGGGCCGCATTCACGATCCGCTCCCGAACCGCCTCCTTGATGGCGCCGTTCATGGACGCCCCGGCGAACCCGTCCGTGCACGTCTCCTCGTTGGTCAAGGCGGCGCTCACCCACGTCTGCACGTCGCTCACCATGGCCTCAAAGCCCGGCCCGCCCCTGAACCCGTTCATCTCCGCCAGGGACTTCCGGATCTGGTCCACGGTGTCCCCCAGCAACTCCACGCAGTCCGC